TTATATAAACTTTAAGTGATATGTATTTTTCCTCTTTTGCAGATAGATTTTTATTGTGTACCGGTATATACTTTATATGCCTGTATTGGTACTCAAGAGTAGTGTATTCCTATTTTTAGTGAAGTGACATTAGTTCGAAAAATATTTGTAGACACATGTACACTTATCCTATTAATGTGTTGTTTTATTTATCAAGTATTTATATTTATATTCTTTTGAACTTGGCAAATTAGAATATAATATGAATAATTAAGTGATAAAATAAGTGTCTATGTGATTGACAAAGGTGTCTGTCTCTGTGATTATTATACAAATGTATGAAAGTACCGTAATTAACAAATCAACTTGAAATTTAATTTGATAATTTGCAAACAAGACTGTCACTTTGTTGGTTACCTTTAATGGCATATGGTGCAGTTACAGGGGAGGAAATAAAAATGCTAACATGAAATGTAATTTTTCGTGATGTCAAAATGGGACATATTGCCTTTTTTGGGAAAAATGTTTTTTTTCATTGATTTTAATCATTAGCTTGAAAAACAAGTTCATTGACCCCTGTTTTTTAATATGACATTTGGCTTAATAATGTAGGAAGATTATTTGCACCAATATTTAAAAAAAAAATCACTGATTAACATTTTTGAACATTAAATAAATATTCAGCAATAAATGATGTTTTTTTCTAAAATCAAGAAAATTGAATAAATATGAATTATTTACAGATTCCTTGCCTGGCTTTGGCTATACTTTTTTGTCCTTTTTGGTTTATAGCTCTTCATCTTTTTAATAAGCTTTGGATTTCAAATATTTTGGCCTCGAGCATCACTGAAGAGACATTGATTGTCATAATGAGCATCTGGTGCAGAAAAATTGGTACCGTTTATGTTATAACAAAGTATTATTACACAAATTTAGAACAAACTAATGTAAAGAAGATATTCCAATTTTTTTGTATAAAAAACACTTGATTTTATCTTCTAAAACAAAAATTCATGTATAAGGTATTTCTGCCCAAAGGATAGATGAAAAGTAATTAAAAAAAAAAAAAAAAAAATTGAGGAAAATACATGTATCTTGAATTTTGACCCAGTCTATCTCTAAATGTATTACATATTTTAGTTAGGTAAAAAATGGCTTTTAAGCATATTTACGTAAGTGAGTTCAAAACTTGCAGATTATTCATTTTACTAAGACCTTTTGATGTCTATATTTGAGCTATAGATTTACAGTTGGCAATAGCCTCAATATCGATCTGTACTCTCCTCTTTAAAACTCCTTTTACTGTAGGCAAATAATATTTTCTTCTTGATATCTGTTGATAACATCTTTATATTTATTATTTATGTTTTTTCTGATATGTTGTGAAATATTTTAAAAGTGCTCATGTGATTTAGCAGAGAAAGAAAGATATCATTTTGATAAACCTTGACTTAAAATGAAACAATTTTTATCTGATAATGTAATATTTTTTAAGGAAAATGGCTAAATATGGTTAATCAAGGGTTTGAAATTCTAAATTTATGCTTGAACTTATCAATTTTAATCTTTTCTGTCCCTTAAAAAGACTAAAACTATTACAAGAACGGTTCTAATTGTATAACGTTGCGGATATGATGAAATCAGGTAATGGATAATATTATTGGCCACACATACACAGGGGATTCCACTGTATAGGGCCAAAACATCCAAGGCGGATCTTGTTCCATGGCCGAAACATCTTTTTCTCCTCGGTGACAAAGCTGAACTAAATTGAAATATTTTAAGGGAGGGGGAATGGTCGGTATGTAAACCAAAGTCATGGCAAGATATTCATTTCTGCCAGATAAAAGTCATGATAAGGGTTACACGAATGACAGGACGATTGACCGGATTGTGACAGGATAATGACCGGATGAGATATAAATGATCAGAATTTTTTTTATGGCCCCACACTTTAAATATATTGAACTGATCGACACAAGTGTTATTATCTCTTTTATTTTACAATATTTGTCCATGAAATAAAGGAATCTGTGAGATTAATAAATATATTAGACGAAAATATAAACTTTATAATAAAAAAAAATGTTTTTCTTCAAAAAAGTTGACTGGACGGAATTCACATTCGCCGATATACGCTTTTAATATATTGAAATGATTGACAAAAAGTGCTACTCTCTCTTTTGTTTTACAGTTTTTTGCATGAAAATAAAGAATTTGCGAGATAAATAAATATATTATATGAAAATATAAACTTATTAGTAAAAAAAAAAATGTTTCTCTACCAGTCTAAAAAAAATAGTTGACTGGACGGATTTTTCCTGAGCGAATTACGCTACGAATAATATTGACATGAGTGACAGAAAGTGTTCAAAACTCCTTAAATTTTCAAAATATTTTACTAAAATTGAGAGACATTTGTGATAAACTTATAAATTATATAAAAATATAAACTTATCCGTAAAAACTTATATTTTTGAGCGCAAAATGTTGACCTGAGTGAGTTCACTAACACATTAAAAGTACTGATATTTAATTAGATTATCTAATTTTGACACTTGTCATAATAACCAATCAAGCCAAATAACATGTCATTTATGTTTTCACACCTGAGACATCAAATACATTTTATTGAATTACCTTATATAATCAATTAGAATCCAATCAATGAAGAATTTTGTAAATATTTGATTATTTAAAAATTTATTGATGCAATTAGAAGACCAAACTTAATGATATTCAAGATCCTTGATAAAGTTCAAGATTACGGATTAACCTTTATTTTGATAATAAAAACTCAAGTTTGAAACCATCAGGTCAACATTTTTTATTGCAAAAAAGTTTTTTTTTACAATTGAGTTAATATTTTTATAAAATACCATTTATACAATTATTTATCTTAAAGGTTTATTAATTTCACAGAAAAAATGTTGTTAGATATGAGAAATATTAACACTTTTTGTCAATCAGGTCATTATTATTCGTAGCGTTATTTTCGCCAGAAAAATCCTTCCAGTCAATTTTTTTTATAGATCTATTGTTTTTTTTATCTATAAAGTTTATATTTTCATATAATATATTAATAAATCTCGCAAATTCCTTAGTTTCATGAAAAAATATTGTAAAACAAAAGAGATATTAACACTTTTTATCGATGAGTTCAATATATGTAAAGCGTACATCACTGAATGAGAAATCCGTCCGGTCAACTTTTTTTTACTATAAAGTTTATATTTTCATATAATATACTTATAAGTCTCGCAGATTTCATAATTTCATAAAAAATATTGTAAAACAATAGAGATATTAACACTTTTTGTCGATCAGTTCAATATATTTAAAGCGTACAACAGTGAGAGTGGAATCCATATGCGCGCGTCCGGTCAACTTTTTTTGCTCAAAAATAATTTTTTTTAACTTTTTTTTTTAGATTTTCATAAAATATGGTTCAGTATCTCAATGGTCTCCAAATATAAAAATAATATACCAAATAAAAATAAACTTCTGTTCATTTATATCTCATCTGGTCATTATCCTGTCACAATCTGGCCAATCGTCCTGTTATTAGTGTAACCCTCATGATTAAAAACGGTAGGTCTTTTCACCAACGAACACATTAAAATACCATCTAACACACCTAAACATATTGTTTTCATCTTTATTTATATATTTGACTTACTTTCTGAATGAGGATGAATATGTTTATACGAATGCATGTCGTTTCGTAACCTGGTTGTTTCGTACCTGGTCGATTCGTAACTACGTTGTTTGTAACTGAGACGTTTCGTACCTGGTGTAATTATATATGGTTATAAAGTGTTAGTTAAAATTAATTAGATTAAATGAAACAGTTAAAGTTATTATTTAAAAATGATCAAATTGTTCATCTAATAATAACGATATTGTAATAATTTTAATTCAAAACTTTCTTAAATCTTTTTAATTATTGGCTAATTGGTAATAAAAAGTAATTACAGTAGGTGTAAAGTGATAAAGTAGTGATAGATTAATGGTACAAGCTTCACGGGGTAGGCGGGAGAAAAGTACAGTCATTGAGACATTTTGATCACTACATAGTGAAGAAATTTAAACCAGACTTTGTTTTCATACAGATTGGAGAGAATGACATCTGTGACAAATTATCTGCATCACACACAGCATCAGAGATTGTACAACTCGCAAAAGATTTCAAGCGCTTAGGTGTTCATTCTGTAGTTATAGGCTCCAACATCGTCAGACTAAAAACAAGAAACATGAAAGAAACAACTTATGATAGAAAAAAAAGATAAATAAAGAACTAAGCAACATAAAGATGAGTTGTGTCAAGTATTGGAGACATCAAAGCACGTGGCAGAAAACTAAATACTTTGATAAAGACGGGGTACATCTAAATGTCCATGATGGACAATTTAAATTCTTCTGTTCTATTCGCATGTGTGCAAAACTGTACTTGTAAAGTGTAAAATTATGTGCAATCAATTATTTAGTAAATAAATATAGATATATATATACATCAATAAGTCTTTTTATTATTTTCTACGTAACCTTAAGACTCATATTGTTATTATATATTGATATAAGGTTACAAAACGTCTCAGGTACGAAACGGCCTAGTAAGTTACTAATCGACTAGTTACGAAACGGCCTGCACCCGTTTATACATGTACATATATATACACAAATTAATAAGAAATGATAACAAGAGAACCAAAAAGAACTGCACCCGTTTATACATGTACATATATATACACAAATTAATAAGAAATGATAACAAGAGAACCAAAAAGAACAGTCTTGCAGGGCTGTTGTCAGAACAGTACACTTTAAAGTCTAACATTTTTTTAAATATAATTATTGTGATAATTTCACATTAAATAAAATGTTTTAACTTATTTGAACAATTTATATATATGGATATATTAATCAAATAAGATGTTCGAGCCCCTGTGCTGTGACTGTCTACTTTCTCTGTAATTCAATGTTTAAAAGTTCACTTAGCAGCCTTCAATATGAGTCCCTACGTTTCGTCTAAATGTTTTTCTAGGACCTTTTCCATTTTTCAATTCTTAGGACTGCAACCGGAAGAAGACTTCTCCGCCGGAAACAGTACACATTTTCTACCTCCCTTTCCATAATGATAGAAGAGTGGGATAGCCAAACGGAACAGGTTGTTTACAAATATTTTTCATTTCGTGAGATCAACAGGTAACAAACAGAATCAGCATTATATTTTAACCTGAGAATAGTGTTACCCGTAAATATACAATGATATGTGTACACTTGTTCCCATGGATTTTGAGAATAACTTGTTTTAAATTTTGTTCAGTTGTTGACGTTGTCATGTACGTAAATTTATATCTCCAACTGCAAGATATGAGTTGTTGTATACATGTATGTATTTACATTAATGCCTGCTAAGTTACTATTTTTAAAAGGATGTCATTTTAGATTACCTGTCGCTTGTCCAATTATATCTGTGTTGTCTCTTTAGATATAAAATCCAGAGATGGTTCTTAACCTCTAGTCCCTTTTGGGATTTTGTGTCCAGACAACCAGTGCAATACACTGGACACAGAATCCCAATAGGGATCATGTGAGAATTTTTGCACATTTTTCACTTTAAGATGCATTTGTTATCTGATATACAGTCATTGTACATGTAATTTAATTAAGAAAATTGTTATTTTTTAATCCTGGTAGTTTTGCCGCAATTCCCTTTCGCACACAGGGTTGTTTTGCCTGAATTCAATTAAGGCCAAGTCTTTTTGCTCTGATTCTGGCTCAGCCCATGTTGTTTCGTTCTGATTCCTATAGCCTAGGTCATTTGGTCGATCCCCTTTAGCACACTCAGCTGGCTCCAATTTTATAAGTAAATTTTATGTGGTTAAGATGCAAAACGACTTACCAATCTGACCAATGTAAGAACAAATCATGAACCTGCAAATGAGTTATTAATAAGATAAAATTATTTAACCATCTCTTTTATTCTAGCATAAAGGCAATAACAAGTGATTGGCCAAATTTAAATGTGTCATATTGTTAATTGACCAATTATAATTGTTGACATTAAATCAAGTACCAATCTAGAATATAATGTTTTTGATATTATTTTATAATGCAATCTCACTAATTAGCGACAAGAAGCATCAGGAAGCAGCAAGAAGACAAATTAAAAGCATCTATAAATTTTTCATTTGCAGAGACATGTATATATATATATAATGATTATATATTTACTAGTTAACTTTTTATTTTTACTTTCTTTACTTTGATTTTATAAATAAGCAATCCATGACCTATAGCTAACTAAGTTTAGGATGATTTATTAGTACATATATAAAAACTAAATTCAACTGTTTAAGAATGAAAAATAACTCAGGTTTGGTTACTTGAATGTATGTACTTAATAAGTTTTTAGTATTTGGGTAAAGATTGCTTGAAATGCAATCAAATATCTATATCATCCAAAGTTTATTACTGCCTTTTATAGTTCAAACAAAATAGTGCAGTGAAGTGATCATTATTTAGATCCTATCCAGTCAATGGCATGCAGTTTATTGATGATATGTTATAATTTGATATTTAAATTACAATATAATGTGTATTTGAATTACTATAAAATTGAAAATTGAAATGGGGAATGTGTCTAAGGGACAACAACCTGACCAAAGAGCAGAAAACAACCCAAGGCCACCAATGGGTCTTCAACACAGCCAGAAAACCTGGCACCCAGATTTATGTAGTGTTTTGTGTTCTTGTTTGTCTTTTTGTTGTGTTTCTTTTATTGTTATGGCATTTGTCAGATTTTATTTAACTTATGAACATGAGTTTTGAATGTCCCCTTGGTGTCTTCCTCCTTTTTTGACGAAAGAATAAGCATGATTTATATATTTCTCAAACCCTGGGCCAAACAACCACTACTCAGGGCAAATTGACCTTGAGCAAAACAACCCAGTGGAGATGGGAGTACGGGTGAAACCACCTGTTAGTTTAATTTATATAAGGAAAATTCAAATCCTTCCAACTAATGACATACTGTGGATTCATTTTTATTCGTGGTATACCAATTTTCGTGGGTTTAGTGGGTCACAGCGAACCACGAATTTAAGAATTCAACGAAGAATAATCCCGAGAAATGTGTATGGAGTCGGATGTTTATTTCCGGTTATGTTATGCAGTTCTAGTATAGTGTTGACTAGCGATAAACATTGTAACATAACACGTGTTTTTAATGAAAGAAGATACAAGTATTTTGATTAAATCAATAATAAATATATCGAATATCAGTGATAATTTACTTTTTAAAATTGATTAAAACTGTTCATGGAAAAATAACTGCAAGTTGTTAATTACCGTGTCATAGTTTGGTTTACTGGTGATTAAGAATCAATACGATTAAGTACGGGGATATTGACCGTAGGTAGTATTGTTTATGACAGGTGCATGTATTTTCACACCTTTTACTTATATGACTGTTTATTATATCGTGAGAAGGGAAATGAGCTTTCAATCATAGTGTTTTGAATGCCTTATAAAATTCCGACAAGAATTTATAAATTGTAAAACAAACAAATAATTAGTTGTCTCTGTCCATTATTGTAATAGAAGTTTTCAATGAACACTTTAACCTAGAATGACCAAGCGAGGATTTTGACAATTCAAAACTTTTTCAATGAATTCCTTCTTTTTTGTTTGTTTTATTAATGATCAAACCAAGGAGGTTATATGATCTAAATCAAAAAGAAATCCACGAATTACGTATCTGATTGATTTTTTTTTTGTAATCAGCGATCCACGAATTTACATATACCACGAAACGTCTTTTTTTCTCTATCCACGAAAATTGATACCCACGAAAATAAATGAATCCACAGTACTCAATTATCTAACATGTATGCTTGAACTACAATTATTAAAAATATAGCTTATAATCCAATTATCAAATTAAAGTGTTAAATATTTCAATTAGACAAGTCCAGACCACCTTGTTAGATAATTTAATATGAATGAGTTAACATGTCCAAACACAATTATAAAGTTGTTAGTTGCAAAAGGTGTGAATGTAATAGATTAATTGTCTGTTCATTTAATTTTGTTGTTAAATTTTAATGAATTAGTGAAATAATAAGATATACTTTATTTATTCAATAGCCGCAGCCCACACATTGGGTTTACTTACAAGGCAAAGAAAACGCAGTTTAAGGTTGGAAATTGCCTTTTTTATCAACTTGTACAATGTTGTACATACATTTGTACATGCATATATTGTATATATTTTTTATGAGAAAGAAACAAAGTATTTTATAATCATCTTGATAATGTTTGGAAATGTATTCAGTCATGTTAGAAGAGTACCTAGGATGATCCAGTTTTTTCAAATTTAGATATGTTGTTTCCTGTAACTAAATGAAGGTCAAGTTCAATTTTCACGATTTTAGCTTTTCTCGTTGTTGAGTTATAGCCCTTTCCCAAGAATTTAATTTTTGATGAAATTCTTATTAATTACTCCATTCTGTTCAAAGGGAAATAACTCATTTTTAGCTCACCTGACCTGAAAGGTCAAGTGAGCTTTTCTCATCACTTTGCGTCTGTCGTCCGTCGTCCGTCGTCCGTAAACTTTTTAAAAAATCTTCTCCTCTGAAACTACTGGGCCAAATTTAACCAAACTTGGCCACAATCATCATTGGGGTATCTAGTTTTAAAAATGTGTGGCGTGACCCTGTCAACCAACCAAGATGGCCGCCACGGCTAAAAATAGAACATAGGAGTAAAATGCAGTTTTTAGCTTATAACTCAAAAACCAAAGCATTAAGAGCAAATCTGACATGGGGTAAAATTGTTCATCAGGTCAAGATCTATCTGCCCTGAAATTTTCAGATGAATCGGACAACCTGTTATTGGGTTGCTGCCCCTGAATTGGTAATTTTAAGGAAATTTTGCTGTTTTTGGTTATTATCTTGAATATTATTATAGATAGAGATAAACTGTAAACAGCAATAATGTTCAGCAAAGTAAGATTTACAAATAAGTCAATATAACCGAAATGGTCAGTTGACCCCTTTAGGAGAAATTGCCCTTTATAGTCAATTTTTAACCATTTTTCGTAAATCTTAGTAATCTTTTACAAAAATCTTCTCCTCTGAAACAACTGGGCCAAATTAAACCAAACTTGGCCACAATCATCATTGGGGTATCTAGTTTAAAAAATGTGTGGCGTGACCCGGCCAACCAACCAAGATGGCCGCCACAGCTAAAAATAAAACATAGGGGTAAAATGCAGTTTTTGGCTTATAACTCAAAAACCAAAGCATTTAGAGCAAATCTGACATGAAGTAAAATTGTTTATCAGGTCAAGATCTATCTGCCCTGAAATTTTCAGATGAATCGAACAACCTGTTGTTGGGTTGCTGCCCCTGAATTGGTAATTTTAAGGAAATTTTGCTGTTTTTGGTTATTATCTTGAATATTATTATAGATAGAGATAAACTGTAAACAGCAATAATGTTCAGCAAAGTAAGATTAACAAATAAGTCAACATGACTGAAATGGTCAGTTGACCCCTTTAGGAGTTATTGCCCTTTATAGTCAATTTTTAACAATTTTTCGTAAATCTTAGTAATCTTTTACAAAAATCTTCTCCTCTGAAACTACGTGGCCAAATTAAACCAAACTTGGCAACAATCATCATTTGGTTATCTAGTTTTAAAAATGTGTGGCGTGACCTGGTCAACCAACCAAGATGGCCGCCACGGCTAAAAATAGAACATAGGGGTAAAATTCAGTTTTTGGCTTTTAACTCAAAAACCAAAGCATTTAAAGCAAATCTGACATGGGGTAAAATTGTTCATCAGGTCAAGATCTATCTGCCCTGAAATTTTCAGATGAATCGGACAACCCGTTATTGGGTTGCTGCCCCTGAATTGGTAATTTTAAGGAAATTTTGCTGTTTTTTTGGTTATTATCTTGAATATTATTATAGATAGAGATAAACTGTAAACAGCAATAATGTTCAGCAAAGTAAGATTTACAAATAAGTCAAATAACCGAAATGGTCAGTTGACCCCTTTAGGAGTAATTGCCCTTTATAGTCAATTTTTAACCATTTTTCGTAAATCTTAGTAATCTTTTACAAAAATCTTCTCCTCTGAAACAACTGGGCCAAATTAAACCAAACTTGGCCACAATCATCATTTGGTTATTTAGTT